ATTTATTTATTTTTGTTTTCCCTTATATCAAATATCAAAAATGTCGACTTCTATTCTTAAGATCACGCACCTCGACTCGGTGCATAAGCTTGTTGTACCTTTGTCTATCAAGTGGGCAGACCTTGAGGAGCAGGTAAAGTACGCTTTTCGGCAAATAAGAAACTTCACCTTTTTTTTTTCGGAATTTGACATTATTAACATTATTATTTTTTTTATTTTAGATTCGTAATATTTTCTCTATCCCTTCTGATACACCTTTCCTTTTGCGTTATCGTGACGAGGACGGCGACTTGATAACCCTGAACTCTGACCTCGAGTTTGAGCAAGTTCTTTGTGCAGGTGCTCGCGTGAAGTTTTTGTTGACCTTACCTCAAGACGCAGTTGACCAACCGGATAATGACTGGGACGTAAGTTCCACAAGTTCGTTTGATACCATCAGTGAAGAGCCTGTGCTCGTGCAGCAGGAAAATGAGAGGGAAGAGGAGGAAGCGATATATTTTGATGACATGGATATTGAGGAGGGCAGTCATAAATTGTCCGTTAGAGCAAAACATAAGAGGAAAGAAGAGGAGATTGAAAGTGAGATTCCCTCCAGTAGAAGCGTGGAAGTTGATATATTCCATGATTCCATCAATTCGCTACACTCATCGTCACAAGTGCAGCAACAGGAACGATCTGAAGAGCATGATCAAGAGGTTCGTCACATCAAAATCATAGAAACGTCTTATGCGAGTGCAAATGAGCACCAGCCAAATATTCAAGAACAGTCCGATCAACCGGACGAGCGCAGCCATTCGACAGTTGAGGGACTCTCAACGAAATTCGAAAAGGTCATTCAACAATGTTGTAAAGTTTTGGGTGATAATCCGGAGATGCTCGAGAAAGTGGACTCAATAATGGACCACGTAAGATTCATGTTATCCACATCGCAGTCTTTTTTTTGTTCATCCTTTCCGTTTAAATCTTACAATGGTGGTTGATCATCGTTTTTTTCAGGTCTTAGAGAATACTCCCATGTATATTGAATTCGTCCTGAACATTCTAAATTCCGCAAAGGACAAAAATCGAGATATCGGTACCAGCTCGTCAAACGAAGATAGTTCCGCACAAGATCATATTGACAATTCTCCTAACATGCCGGGTAGTTTTCCGAACAACACACCCTTGTTCCAATTCAGACATAATCAGAATACTGTATTTTCACCACCACCAGCACCACCACTATTACCACCGAGCATACCGCCACCACCAATACAGAATCGATCACGTACTGTTCAGCCACGTCCCCTTAATCCTCCTTTCATTCTACCACATATACGCAGACATTCACTTTTCCCCGGGAGTTTTCCATCAACAAGCAATACTTCCGAATATTCCGCAAAATTGTCAGAGCTATATGATATGGGCTTCGATAACGCAGAACAAAATCTCTATCTTCTCCGAAAGCATCATGGTGAAATCGATGCTGTTGTTGATGATATCATCTCACCGAAGGATAATAACAACCACTCGGGATATCGTTCTCGATATTCGCGAGTAAATATAACTCCGCGAACGAGACATTCGTCTAGACACATGTTCAGGGATGACTATGCAATGTAGAGAACTCGTAATTCCACTTCTTATGTGCTTACAAGTAAAATTTCACATCAATTGTTTTCTATTACTGTTTTTATTCCGCTATAAACTTTCTTTGTATAATTATCATCCTTTTATTCCTTTTGACGCTTTGTACACAATCGTTGCGAAAGTTATTTGTCATTTTACAATAAATAAATGAACATTATGTAATAATAAATTAAAAATAAGAAAACTGGGACGTACAGTTATTATCAAGAAAAAAATTTTTCGTGATATTTATCAAATGCAGAATTCTTGATCATCACTCCTAAAATATCTATATCCCGCCAAAAATTGTTTTTGTTACGTAATATATACAGTACATGGTGATACAGATTGATGCATGTGTACGTACGTAATAATAATTTGTCGATTTCCTTTTCAATTTCTCCCTTCTAATATACGTATTTGCAAACCCGAGCAATGACGGAAGCCTCAGAGGAAACCGCCGTTCAATCAGAGGTACAGGGAGAGAACCTGGAAATTATTTAGTAGGCGAATTCTTGAATTCTTTTCGATCGAGGCGACGCAACCGATATTTAAACAATTTTTTTTTCTGAACTCAAAATTTTCGACATCCGGCCGGACATGGTTTGTTTCCGCACTCGCCACGTTAATTCTTACAATTTCGTAGCGTTTTTTCTGGCACCTTTAACGTTAGCGGGCAGGACGCGACTGAGTCTCTCGCGCCATGGTTGCAATGCGATTACGATATTGATATTTATGCCATCGGGTGAGTTCACACGATCTGCCCGCTGAGTTTTGTCTGTGCATCGAATCAAATTGACGGAAGGTGATCCAACAGATTTCAAGAGGTTGACTTGAGCGCCGAAGCATTTTTATTGAATGGAAGCACACGAGAGGAAATTTGGCATGAAGCCATCATAGATGCATTAGGGGAGAAGGCCGGTGATTACTTGAAGGTACCCCTCCAATATCCCATCGAATTTCAAAATTAGCCATTCCATTAAAAACCTCCTGGAAATCAATAAATAAATATGTTACAGTTGGAGTCCAAGCAATTGGTTGGAATACTTTTAATGATTTTTGTGAAGAAAGCGCACATGCCATATATCAAGGAGGTCAGAAATGATTGCGCCGGAGTTGGGCTGATGGGCATGATGGTATGACAAGTTTTTTACTCCGCCTCCCCGTCCATTCTCGACTTTCCTGTTCATCTCATTCTGTCCCAGGGTAATAAAGGTGGTACCGCCATAAGGTTCCAATTCCACGATTCGTATCTGTGCTTTGTGAATTGTCACCTAGCAGCGGATCCGAATGGACTAGAAAGGAGAAATCAAGATTACATGGATATATGTCGACGGATGACATTTCCCATTAACATGAGTGAAGGGTATTCATCATTATATGGTTGGGTTGGCGATTACATAGCACCTTCAGCGAAATATGCGGCCGCCGCTGTCGTTGGCATGGGAGGCATGGTAGGCATACCTGGTATCTCTTCAATGATTGATACTTCACCAGGCGCAATAGGCGCAGGGACTGTGTTATCCATATTCGACAATGAGTATGCATTTCATTTATTGATTTATTTAATTTGAATTTTTTTTTTTTTTTTTTCATTTATTGAATTTAATTGACACAATTTCAGCCATTTAATTTGGCTAGGGGATCTGAATTATAGGGTCGACGCACTGCCAGAATATAAGGTTAGAGAACTCGTGGATGACAATGAGCTGGAACTTTTGCTCAACTTCGACCAGGTACATAGCTCATCCCACCTTATTGTTCAGAGTGAAACTGCTGGATCGGTATAATAACAGATCGCATTCTTGATATCACCCATCATCAGCTTACAATGCAAAGAAGGAACAAGCAGGCATTTTTTGAGTTTGAAGAGGGAAAGATCACTTTCAAACCGACCTATAAATACGACTTTGGATCAAAAGAATTTGATACGAGGTAAATTTTGGATAGGTTTTCTTTTTTTTTATTTCGGGGGGTTTTTTTTTTTTTTTTTATTTTTTTCGGTTTTATTTTATTTTTTTATTTTTTTATTTTTTATTTTATACGATAAACCGACTATTTAATTCCACATATGGCTTAAAGTGAAAAGAAGAGAACGCCATCATGGACCGATAGAATATTGTGGAGAAGTAAAGAAGGTGATTGGTGTAAGCAGCTGGTATACAGGAGCAATATGGATATTGGAATCAGTGATCACAAGCCGGTGAGCGCGGTTTTTGAAATGAAGGTTGGTTGACCAGTTCGTTTCCTTATTCTCGTCATCTCCTCAATCACATCTCTCTTACACTCGACTCTTTTCAACCGATGGTTAGTTAAAAGTGAGTCCACCTGAAAAAGAGGATGATGATATGATCATGCAGGACAATGTAATTATATTGAAGGACGATGGGTGTAAATAACGGAATGAAAAATCGATGATGGAAAATGAAATGTAAATTCTGACCTATCCTGATTGATAATTTTAATTCACTAAACACGAGTTGGACGAAATCTATTGTTAAATCGGTTGTCAAGATTTAATGTACTATATAATTTCGAAATATACATAGATATTTAAAAAAGATAATAAATAATAATAATAATGTCATCCTAAATCCCGTTGACCAAAGTAATTTCTTATGATGGTGATTATCATGTTTAATGAAGCCAAGGTTGTGTCGTCCTCGTTGTCCACCTAAAAATATGAGAGCATACCCCTTATGAACAAGTGATGTTGAAAATCGTGAGAAATGAAGAAACCAAGGGGAGAAGAATACCGTGGAAAACTCTTTCATCAAACTTCTGCGAATATCTATACACTTCCTACAGAGTCCTCGAAGAATCGACATTTGATCAGGAGTCAAAATTTTGTCGATTCTGATAAGCAGGGCAAAAAGCCATTGAGATTTGGCTATGGACATTCCGGTATTCAACCATCTGATGTGATAAGAGAGTAGAGCAATTGTCGTGGGCTGTGTGTTTTTAAAGGGAACCAAAGTGAATTGAGTGTCACACTTCACTGATGCCACCACCCGTGACGATTGTCCACGATTCAAACCTGATCCATTCTCGATATTATGTGCCAGCTAGGCAACATCATGGCAGCAACTTCGTCGCCCTCATCCTCTCTCGTTAACTTTGGGGAGTCGACACCCGAAAAATTCAAGCCATAGCAAAACCTCGACCATCCGGCCTCATCTTGACTTTTGGGTAGTTTCGCCGGCGGATATAAAGAATCGCCTGACGAAGGCGATCCCTTTGACGCCTCATCCATGTGCAACTGCAATGCCTTTTTTCGTGGAAAAACCATCAACATCATATAAATGCTCGTTCCTAGTGCATGACCGATATCAAATGTGAATGTGAAACCAAAGCACTTCATCAGACCTTTCGTAAATTCTGGAATCTCTCCAGAAATCGATTCTCCCATTCCTCGTCAACCAGTCCACTTTCCCTATTATGTCTGTCCTGTTCTTCGATTAATGTGGTCTCCGCATTCGCCCAACCTCTCTTAACCCATCCGGCCATTTTAACTTTGCTGCTTCTATCGGAGACATTATCGGAGACGGTGACGTTTTGTGTCTTGCTGGCCTCCAACCTTACCATTTGTAGGTATTCTTCGCCTGTTGCGGGAGGTTTGCCCGGTTTGGTTATAGGTTTCCGGGAAACGGGAAGTACGGGTTGCAATAATTCATCCTCGGTGTCACTAAGAACATCATCGACCATGCCCTCCTGAGCTAAACCACCGTGCTGCAAAGAGGAAGAAGACATTTCACCAAAAAAAAAAAAAAGTAACGATTAGGATTATCGGCGGTTTTTATTTCGACCGTATCACAAGATCTGACCAATTGAGACGCGTGGTTGAAATTACAGTACGTACCGGACGTGAGCGGGTTCCCTTGGATGAAACTCTGCTCAGAGATTCTTAGGTTGCACCGACTTGCGCGTCAACCAACAGAATTTTTTCGGTTTCTCAATTCTTTCAATAACTCTCGTCGAGATCGTGCCTGATGAATTAGTAGCACAACAATTTCAAAATAGGATGGCGGTGAAACTCAATAAATTCCGATTAATAATGTAAATTACTCAGCAATTACTCAGCATTTAGGGAAGAAAAAGTTGTCTGGACAAAGAGAAGAGAATTTCGCTTACACTCATGAATTATAGTAATGTTTGACATCTCTACTTGGAATTTCCGCGACGATGAAGCTTAAGATGGGAAAAGAAAAAAAAAAAATAAAGAGAAGAAAGGAAATTGATACCAATCCTGCGTGCTCTTTGTACATACGTTCGTCAGCAGAAATGTAATTCGTGTAATGTCGAACTTTAAAGAATTTCGAAAAGGGGATCCAAATTGCATGCACTCGGGTTTCGTGACATTTTATACCAGGTTGCCAGTCATCATCAGATGATATATGCAAGTATCGACGATCATACTTAGCTTCAAAGGAAATCAACAAACAAAAATTCATTTCATACTGGGATCAGGGGTTTCTCATGCGCGGATTATGACGAGGGTTTATGAACGTGCGCTATCGTGCATGTCGTGTAATCGAAAAGAACTTGAACAATACTTAAGAAAAAATAACAAACTCTGCCATGTGCGGTGAACCTTTGCACAAAGAACTAAAAAAAATCCTGCATTTGACGTAAATTGTCGTTTATTTCTAAAGATAAATGGCCACGTTTTGACCTGACGTTTCACAAGTCTCAAACATTTACACGTTTGTCATGACTGAAAAACAAGGAAGATTTTCGCCGGCCAATAACATCTTCGAGACAATATTAATTCTTTGTCTAATTTTACCTTTGTTCTTACAATGTCCCGGACGTTGGTGAGTCTAAGATCCTTGCCTTAAAAAAAAAAAATTAAAAAAATAAAGGAAAAACTCTTTACTAATCTGATATTATATACAACGCATTTGTTATGCGATATCTACTGTACCTTTGCTAGAGATGTCCGGCAAGCCTTTGAATTGAATTCCCGACGATTCGTTTCATGTTTGTATAACGCCGCATCATTCATTGCATCGGAGGAGGTTATAATCATTCGGCCTGACCAAGTCGTTCGTAAGGAAAAAATAAAAAAAAAAAGCGCGGGCTCAAGGAAACAAGGTTCGGACACGTGGCGGAGAGTGATGAACACCGAGGGAAACTTTATTCATGCGACGGAGATTGTAAACGATTATGTATGTCATCGAACTCACGAAACAAGTATGAAAGTGTTTATGTGTCGGTTTACTTTCCAGTTCCATATTGTTGGAAAAGGTTTTCTTCATTATAAGACAATCTTAACGGTTGCTTTAGTATTGTCACGGACTGATCGGTTATCGTGAGCAAATATGGTGTCGGCATTGATCGATCATTCGTGATTTGACGCTTGCATCTAAAAATAACTTGAAACATCGAACCCCCGCTTTTTTTTGCAACATGTGTTGCTGCGGCAGTCACGTGGAATTAAACTAAAAATTGCGTTAGACTATATCGTACGCATATACGGAGAGCTGACCCCAAATTTTGATAGTCGGTTCGACCGTACCACCAGGGTATTAAATACAGTAATAATAGCTTCGTTTCAAAGACCTTGTCAAGTGTGTTCATCTTTGTTTATTAGAAAAATAATTTTCGGATTATGTTTCATGGCATAACCGGGATGCTGTTGACCCTAGAGTAAACCATTTAATTATAACTACGTCGTTATACAGTATGTAGTTGATAACATAAAAAAAAAAAAAAAAATCAGTTCAAAAATATATATAAGCGTCAATGATTTTTTTTTCTTGGAAATTCGCCAGAGATCAAAAAATAAAATACAACATGACGAAGGATAACCAAAACAAAAAGGCTACCAAGATTCCCGTCTCACGTAAACAGAGAGACGTCCACCTCTTTGAGACCTCCCAATTCAAAGAGGATCTCAGGCGGTCCATCAGCAAGAATTTCAAAAAGACCTACCCTCAGGGAATGAAGGAGGAAACCACGTTACCTCTCGATCAACTTCTGGCACCATGCAAGAAAACTCGCGGGAAGAAGGGTAGAATCACCCGACCCCAAAATGCTTTCATACTGTACAGGAAAGATGTACAGGCAAAAATCAAGAGAGACAATCCTAATGCGAAATTCGAACAGGTATCCAAGATAGTCGGCGAGCTGTGGAAGAAAGAAACCAACCCACGAAAAAACAACTACATTCTATTATCGAATCTCTGCAGTCTCGTGCACCAAGACCTCTTTCCGAATTATAAATTCAAACCACGATCGAAAGATAATGGAGAACAAGAAACGAATTCCACCACACCCGAGGACGAAGAGGAGTTGAGAGAGACAGTTGAAGAGAGAACGTATGAACAAGTTTCTCAACTGACCTCGGTCGAACATCTTTCGTCCTCATTCGACATCAACACAATCGCTACCGCTCAGTATAGCTGCCGCACGGATAACGCAGAATCGGTGCAAGCAGCGGTTGAATTATCCGAATCGTCATTCCCTATCATGGGAATGCCCGTGTACGGTGAAGATTCCACGTTGCAAGAAAACGTGCCGGTGAATGACTATTATGACGAGGCCGGAGAGAATCCTCTGGAATTCCAAACATTGGATTTCGGAGATCTCTTGAATCAACAAAGTTTTTACGTGGCGCCTCGATACGATTCCGGTTTTTATTCCTCGCCGGGCGACGCACAAGAATACGATTACTCGGTCACCGACTTTCCGACAATCCCGTCTACATTTGTGGACACAAACACAAACGCCGCTTCTCTACCATTTTCGTACGACACATCCGTTAACGGAATGCCACGGAATGTTCAGCAACCCTACGATATAGGATTCCTTGGACACTGTGAGGAAGATCAAATTATAAGAATATTTTCGAACGCGCAACACCCCTAAACTAAACCCAATTCATAGAAAATCCACACGTTTTTTTTTCCTATTCTATTCTTTTTTCTTTTTTTTTTTTTTCATTCGATATGTATTATAGCTGCTTCTTTGTCGGAACATTCATGCATTATTCATCATCAATCATCATTTATTTATTTATTTATTTATTTATTTATTTATCATTATTCATTATAAATTAGTATTGTATTTTTTTTTTTCGAGAGTGTGTACATACATAAAAAAAGATATACATAGGAAACCAACTTAGCTTAACGGCGGAACCAATGAGTTTAAAGCGGAGCCGCAAAAAAAAAAAAAAAAAAAAAAAAAAAAAAAAAAAAGATTCAAATTAGAGCATTTTCCAATTTCATTCATCGATCAGAAATCCACATCCTCAAAATCATAAGAAATTTTTTCCAAACAAAAAAAAAAAAAAAACCCCGATACAAGCAAAAGAAAAAAAAATTTAGATAATCATCCAGAAATCATATAGTCACTTTAGACACTCAAAGCAATCATCATCATATTCTTTTTTTTTTTTTTTTTTTAATAAACAACCAAGACTTTGTTTAAATTTACAGTAAATAAGAATTTCTTGAATTAAAATAATTGACATACAAACACATTATGCATTGATTCGTTCACACAATTAAACTAGGACGAGTGATGTACTGTGGGTTAAATTGCCCCGGATGTTTGTAACTTATTTTGCAATTTGAAGAGGTGCACAGGTGGCATCCTCGTGGAAGCGTGCTAATACCAAATCGTTGTCGCCCCTTGTTGCCAAAGGAGGTCAACCCGACAACTATTTACTTGGTTTTTGTGTATTCCAATTAAATGATGCTTAAAAAAGTGGTGATGAGATTTCCTTGTTCACAGGGTTTTTACGGTTTGTGGTTCAATCGGCACACAGTTAACAAGGACCTTTCTTGTTACTGATAAAACCGTGTGACCCGTTTGGAAAGCCGAGATGTAAATATTTATCGTGAAAATATTTTTAGCAGGAAAAAAAAAAAAAATTAAAATAAAGAAATAACAATAAATTTTTCCGTATGGAAAGAACTGGACTACTCGTGTGTACGAATTAATCTGTCTATTGCATGCATGTGTATGGACTTCTCTATATAAAAAAAAAAAAGAAAAGAAAAGAAAAAAAAAAAAAAACCTTGCACAAATGAGCATAGCGTGTAAGATCTCACCCCAGAATGTCTATTGTTTACATTTTAAATCACGCTTCTCGTGACATCCATATTCTTCCCGCATATGTTACCTTTTGAATGACCTCGAAAGAGCTTTGTGTCAAATGTTGTGACAAGATCCTCTCAATTTAAACTCAGTTTCCCCTTAATTTTCGCGTTTTTCTATGGGGAACCTTCTTTTTTAGGATGATATGTGTTTTTGCCTCATGCATGGTGTCACCACCTTTTTCAGGATATGATGTGTACAAATTAAGAAAATACAAGGGCAACATTTATTGATTGTTTACCAGGATAGTGGAATCTATCGACAATTGGTGCGCATTACGTAAGTGGTTGCGCGCGCTCGGTGAAATTTTCCTCCAACCGATTCATATTAGCTGACTCACATAAAATTATTAACTTTTCTTTGTTCGTTTATAAATTAATTAATTTAGAGAGGATTTATTTAATATTATTATTATTGCCAAAGTGGGCGCACTCAATAATGTATGTAATAAACGTCCATCTGGAGTCAAATCACAACACTTTGTTCCAACGACAACAACAATGTTTCCTCGAGATGGTTTGAGCGACCAAGAAACCGGTTGCATATTCAATCCCTTATATTTCAAACAATGTTAAGGTTGAGTGTGCATATGCTTACTGTATTATTCTTCGCATGAGGTTCTACAATAAAATTAAACTTCTACAATTATTCTCCAGAATGGAATAATGTCGTCGCGAAATTGGTTGTTTCAATTTGAAACACACCGAAGGATTGGTCGAATCACAATACCTCGTTTCCTATCATGTGCTAATCTTTTTGATGTGTGGCTAAAAGGAAAACGTCATTCTACTATCTACTAGAACAAAGGCAGTTATCGCGTAAAACCTAATCGACTGCGTCTTATGCAAGCATTTCGTGCAGCGAAGAAACGTTTCGCATTATCTGCACATGTGTATGGTATCACCGGGAGAGGCCTTGTATAAAATGTATACGAGATGCCCTGTCTAAATAGAAAATATTGGTGACATTGTTTCCCATTGGTGATCTTCATGGTTACTCAATGGACATTCTCAATGTAAATAGATCTATTGGTTCGTAAAAGTGCACACGCACGATGCATCTTAACGACTTTTTTGTCTTAATAAACGCAAACAAGAAATAGATGCAAGCAAAAAAAACATTCGGATAGTGATGGTGTATCCTTTCACGGCAAACTTGCGATCTAGAGTCTTTACCATTAAGGAGTTGAGAAGTCGGTGAGCTGCATATACCAAACGGTCGCCGCTTGATACTAATTTAAATTCTTTGTAAAAACTAGCATGCATTGACTTTTTGATACAGTATTCATTCACTTGTCATTTTGTCAAAAAAAAAAAAAATAATTAATAATACCTCTTATTTGGTAATTACAAAAAGAATTGGATTTTATTGCTTTATAATCTTTGCATATTCGAAAAAAGAAAAGAAGATTGATGAGAATCAAGGCAAAATTATCATTTTCCTCTTAACAATACATCCTCTACATGGCAATGGCATGCCGATCGTTTCAGCATTATAAGGAAATGCATCCCTGTTGGACTGCTAAACCTCAAGATAATACATGTATCATCGAGGGACTATTGTTTTTAATTATTCTGTCTCTTTATTTTGTCGATGCAATACCCGTTATTCTATTGATAAGCTGTGATACCAATCCTTATTAAATCAATTATTCATTTCTCACTTCATTTCTTTCTTTCTTTTTATTATTATAAATATTACAGTGTACACTGTATTTTTAATTAATCAACGATTTTTGATTCATAATTTTATTTTTTTTTTTTTTAAAAAAAACCAATAGTAACAAATCCTCCTCCAATTTAAACATTTCTGGCAAGGATATCTATAAAGCAACAATAAAAAAAATATACTGTACGTACATTAACCGTTTCTTAGTTGACTATACTTTAAACCATACACTAGTCTATTTAACATGATAATAAACATTTATAAGTGAAAAAAATTTTTTTTTTTTTTTTATGGAGTAACAAAAATGTTAAAAAATAAAAGTTTTGTCGATCAAGATATATTCGACAATCGAACCATATTGATAAAAAATAACAAAAAGTAAAACTTAATTTTTAAGAGTTCTATTAATATTTATTACTAAAAAATATGCGATAAAAGATAGAATATGCAGTAAAATGATAAATATAAAACTATTTTTTGGCCCCCATTTTTAATATCATATATAAATTCTCGCCTTCGAAAATAATTACCCTTATATATTAAAATTATTATATCAATATAATTTAAAAACTTTATCAGATATTTTAAATAAATAAATAATTTATAAATCATAATTATATCACATATTACAATTTCAAAATTTTTTAAAAAGCACTTGCTTTTAAATTAATAAAAAATTTTATAAATCTATTTTTTATTTTAAAATAATTAAAAAAAAATTTTTTTTTAAAAACTAAAATTAAATATATATCATTTGTTATTTCAATACAAAAAATTCAATATTAATAATTATTTATTATTATAATAATTTTAAAAATTATTAAAAGTATTATTTTATATATCACTAATATCTATTTGAATAAAATAAAATTTTTTTTAAAAAAAAAATCAATTCCAAAAATCAAATTATAATACAATCAAAAATTCAACATCAATTTTTCAATTTTTATAAAATAATATTTTTAAATATTAAAAAAAATTTTTTTTTAAATTTTTATTTATAAATCAATTAAAACTTAAAAATATTAAAAAACTTAAATCAATAAATAAAAAATATAATAATGATAATAATTTTTTTTAACTCTGTTAAATTAATTGAATATGCTTTATTAAATATAATGTAAACTATATTAGTTACAATCTTACTAAAACTAATATTAATTAAAATTATGTTATTCAGTAATTGAATTATTGCTAAATTTGATAAAATATAATAATAAAAATATTGATAAAACATTTTCAATTACTACTACTTGGCATTAAAAATATCAACAAAAAATTAATAAAAAATTTTAATATATTGTAGTAAAAAAATTTAGTATAAAATTCAGTATAAAATTTAAAAAAATTTTGATATATTATATAAAAAATTTGTATATTGTAGTAAAAAAATTTTTTGTATATTACAGCAAAAAAATTTAACAAAAAAATTTAATAAATAACAAAAAATTTAACAAAAAAAAATTACATACTGTAGCAAAAAATTTGGCAAAAAAAAATTGCATACTATAGCAAAAAATTTAGCAAAAATTACAAATTCAATATTAAAATTCCATAAATATTAAAGAAATTTAACAAATTTCATAAAAATTACAAAATCAATTGACTAAACTATTTGTCTCTTTTCTCTTTTTCCTCCTTCTTCTCTTTCATTTGCTTCTCTCTTTCTTTTAAAAATTTCAATTTAACTCTTTTAAAACTAGCCTTAATTGATTTTATTTTGCCAAATGTTTTTTGAGATTTTTTA